ATTCGATTACTGATATTGTTTATAATTTCCATTGAATTTTATATTTTAAAAATGATATTTAATTATAAAAAATATTTATAAGGTTCGAAATCCATTGAACGATAAATAAAACATTATTTTATTAAAAAATAATAAGATTCATAGGAATAGACGAGGGGGTGGATATGAACTGTTGGTTCCCTTCCCTTAAAATATTTTTTGTCTTGAACCGGAACGGAAAAAATTCCAGTTCGAAGCTGTGTTAAAAAGTTTGTCTGAAGTAGTATCTTTTAATAAATAGAGTAAATTTTAATGATAAAAAAATAGATATTTAGCAGAACTTTATTGATTATTCGATTGAATTTGAATTTCTTGCTTTTCTGTTTGATGAGATTTATAAGGTTTCTCTGCTATTCTAAAGCTATCTTTAGAATTTTTACTTGGAAAATCTAATATTAATTAATTATTAACCTTTCACTTCAGAGACCATTATTTGGTAGTACTGAATTTCAAGTATTTTCGCTTTACTTGTTTTCGCTCTAGACTTTAAGCGGAAAAATATGAACATGATAAGTTAATTTATTTAAATCCAATTCAGATTTATTTGATATGTTTATGTTAATGTTTAATAAATCTGTTTTTCTTAGTTTTATAAAATAATTGGTTATTGCAAAATAGACCAATAATACTGTGAATATATAAATGACACTTCAAATCAAATAAATTGGATGACAAACTTTGATGTTGCCGATTACACTGAGAATGGATGCAAAACATACTACATCTTGAGCGTAGCCAATTAACATTATTTTTATTGTATTCCACCAAAATAATGACATAATGTTGCGTTTGTATGAACTGAAAAATATCACACTTAAAATAACAACGCGAGGGTTCAAATATCAAAGCAGAAATGATGAATAAAAAAAATCAAAGATAATACATTTGTTACAGAGCAACAAAGAAAAAATTACCAGTACCGGGTCTCCGATGCGGAAGCGTCAAATTGTCTGTGAAAGAAAATACGAACTACTTGAGATGCCCAAACAAACGTTTCACCTAGTTACGCATTCACTTGCCAATCCACACTTAAAATTATGTTGTCCATCCGTAACTGTTCTAAAACAGCGAAATAACTCAATTCGAAGGATGTAACATATGCACTTATAAAAATGTCCTAAGAAATATAATATTTTTGGGGCGTGCGACGACTCGGTTCTAAAATAGTTAACTATGAATTATTACATCTACTTGAAGAAAGCATCTGACACCAAACAGTTTTCTATTTTTGGATTCTAAAAGAAAATTAAATATGCATATGTTAGTAGTAGTATTATGTATGTATTAGTTTGATATTGAGAACTTTCATGTTTTATGACAAGAATAACATTATTTTTCTTTTATATTTTAAAATAGGTAAAAATAATTTTCATTTTTTGAAAGAGAAGTGTTATATAGGCGTAACTTATATTCTCTTTTACTTGCTAGTATAGCAAATTCATATCCTTTATTTCATAATCTTAAAATTATAACCGTTTCAAAAAAACACTCGTTTAAAATACTCATATTACAAATATTTTTCTTTCAGTTATTGTTTTGTTCTGTATCTTCTCTTCAGTTTATGAAACGCAGTTTAATATGTATATTCTAAGCGAATAAAGGTAACAAAAATACTTAGGTTAGAACTAAACAATATAAAAACAAGTGAAAAACGACAAAATAGGTTTTGCAGTTACAACTACACATAACAATTGTCCGAACAGTTGTAACAACTTTAGTCTAGTTTAGTTTAGTTTAGTTTAATCTATGCCCAAATGTAGAAATAAAAGGAGTAGTGCCGATTATCAATTTCAGTTTAGCACTACAAAATTTGATATGGCATTTTGATAGATTTGTTATTGTTTTTTTTGTTATGTCTATAGCTGTTCTAAGCTGCAATATTCGAGCAATGCCCATCGACAAGTACTAAAAAACTACACAAACAACTTTTGTTCAAATTAAAACACAAATATATAAGTAATAAAAGCATCTTAATTAAATATCAATTTCTTTTTGATGCTGAAGAGTTTGATTATGCAGATATGAATTTGGATATGTTACTGATGTGATTGATCTGCCTACTATTGCTTTAAACCATATCTTATGCCAATTATAAGGCAAGCTAACATTCCTTCAATAGTTTTTCTAACTTGCAAAGATATGTAAATTACCAAATGATTTGGCGTCTGAATAATACATTTATATACAATCAATTTAATTGTGAGTTCCATTCCCCCAATTGTTTTTCTAAGTTGCAAAGATATGAAAATTAGAAAATGATTTCGAGCCTAAATAATACATTTATATACGATCAATTTAATTGTGAATAGGAACTTGTTCAAGCAAAAATTAGAGGAAGAATGCCTCCGGTTGAGTGATTGAGGGTGCACTAACCGGACTTGTTGTGCGTGACTGGAGAAAACTCGTACGCAGCAGAGGCGCCTAGAGAGATATGCTGCGCCAGGCTGAAACAAGATAAAGGGTTGTTATGGCCAAATAAGCAAGTAAGTGAGGTCTATTGATTGGTTCAATTATTATTCTCCAATTTCTGAACATACTGATCAAGAATAAGACATCTAGAAATCAGTGGCGTCGCTAGGCGTCATCAATGTCGGCCACCGCCGATGGCCTCGCGCCCACAGGGGCCTCGCAAAAAGTTACCGACTGTGGATTCTAAGCACCTAATAATTATTTTGAACAATTTGGTTTGATAATGGCATTAACCATATTCGAAGTATTTCCGAATGTTTATATAGTAACCAGATTCATGTTCACAGTTCTAGTCAGCTTCTCAAAGTTAAAATTGATTAAGAAGTACTATAAAAGTATTATGATCCAAGAGAGACTATCTCCATTGGAAATTCTATAAACTGAAGCAAAAATAGCAGCAGGCGCAAATTATGATATAATTTAATAAGAGTGAGGCTAAAAGTAGGAAAATTTATTTATTTTATTTTGTGTTTATTTTAATTTGATTAGCAATAAAACTGGGTTATAAAGGGGGCCTCGCAATTCTGATATCGCCGTCGTGCAGAGTTGGTCTAGCTCCGCCACTGCTAGAAATAAATTTATTCATTTAAAAGGTGTGTTCATAATATTATTTAAAAAAGCACGCATTAAAAACTTTAAATGTATGAACAGATGAAATTGAACCAGCGTCATAGTGATAAGAAGAAGCTAAAACAATCTAATCAAATACAAGTCAAACAATAATATATGAATTCTAAACGAATATTAATCTGGATATTGCTCCTAATTAATATTAACCAACCATAATAGAACGCCTCATAGAAATTGCAATGCAGCACTGCATTAACTACTTCAGTCAACAATATTCATATTCTCACTCAATTTATTCAATTACACTGTCACTGATTTATTTTTTTTGAGCTTATATGGAATGCGCAATTATACTTTACAAAATAACTCGTTTAAAATATATATTCTCTTTTTTTCAAATTGAACTGAATTTTCAAATTTTAATTATATTAATTACTTATATACAAAAAATGTATCTCTTACGTCTAAAATGGCAATTTATTAACAAATATGTACATCAATGAAGTGGTAACTGATTAATGCAAAATTTTTCTCTGCTCCGCCTTCTACATGCTTTCCTCTATATACATAAACTAAACCAAACTGCCGATTGCGATATGGGCGCCCTAACACTAAAAACTCATGACAGAACTATACTGCGGAACGCTACGGACATGCTTACTTGCTACAGATTGGCCATTCAAGCATTTAAAATTAACCCCGCCCGTAAGCAAAATTTTATCTTGCTTAAATACTGCTGTGAAGCTAACAAAATTTACTCGACCATACTTCACACTCATGGCACATACAACATCTTAAAGATCTTAAATACAACATAACGATCGAACACTGAGTATAAATATGTATAATGTATGAATGAATTGATCAGAAAGAAAGAGCACCAATGGCAGTATTACCACTTGGAATTCGCCTGCAATAGTGTTTGTTAGCTTGGAAGAGAAAGAGAGAAACACGGTGGCGTATTATATATTTTTAAAGTTAATAGTTTGGCCTTAACATTATAATTTGAACAAGTTCAAACCAATTTGTTAATAGAATAAAAGCAAATTTTTATTTCTTATATATATAGTTATATAGAGTATAACTTGTATAACAGTGACATAAGTCAAGAAAAGAAAAAATTTTTTTGAGAAGACCCGCTGAATTTCATTTACGCAATTGTTTACTAATTAAATAAGATAATCAAAGCTGTTTAGTTGATGTATTTTCCTTTAATTTAATATTTGTATTTGATATCTATGGTTCATCTTTAGCAGTATTTAATGTTACTGCAGAATTTTCAAAATATCAAAACAACGACCTAATGTTTTATTCAAGTAATTTGAAGTAAAGTAAATTGTATATGCCTAGGGATTTTTTGCACTGCTTTTATGTAAATATTTATTTATTGCACTTATTTATTATTTTTTGGTTAAAAGTTTTCAAATTTAATTATTAAATATTTTATAAAATTTTCACAATGGTAACACCTAATTTACCTAATTATTATCTAATTTATCTTACTCGAAATTTTGTTAAATACCAACCTTTCCTGCCATACCGATATAATATATTGTTTCCCTCAATTTACCATCAATTTACTCGAACTCACACACGGCCTATGGCTTATCTTCAGCAATATTTAATGCTTCTGTGAATTTATGAAATATTAAAATATTATTTTTATTAAAACGATAGTACTTATTACGTAGCAAAAAACCTAAATCTAAAGCTTGTAGTACAATATATTATTCTTTTTATTATTTTTATATTGATTCAACCACAATTTTATTTTTCTTTTTTTCTTTTTTTTTTTAGTTACTCATTTTTAAACGCTTTGATATAAAAATATATATGTGTGGATATCAACTGAAGTCTCAAAGCACTTTCCGACTATTTTCAAAATTCTTAATGCCGCCACTGAAAAAATATCTCAAAATCAAGAGATCATCTTCACTTCATTTGTGTATATGTTTCCATGAAGGAAAAAATCGCCATTAAGAATTATACACTCATTTTGATGATGCACACACAGAAGTACCAATCTTATTCGGGTCTTCGAAGTATTCACAATAAATGGAATAAAACAAATTTTCTAATAAACTAAATGAGTCAAATAAAAACAGAAATATATTGTGAAGCCACTCGCACACGATCAAGTTGGTGTTGGTAAAATTCAATCTCATTTCTCATGAATGCGGTTGAGATAGATGAGATGCCCGCCAAATAATGCCTGCGTTAATAGCATTAACGCCTTATTAGTCTCAGCAAGTACGGGTGACGAACAAGTTGGACCGAAGACGTGTCGCGTCAAACATTTTGTTTGAGTAAAATTTTGACGAAAACCGCGGGAAAGTCAAAATCGCAAATCACACATGAATTAAAATCATAATTTTTAATAAAATTGAAATAATTTTTTTGAAATAAATTATTTTATAAGTGACATGACAAATATAATGTGTTAATGATCATTAATTTGGCTTAATAGATAATGATACTTGTGAGCATAAAAATTCTTTAAGGTTACAGTTGAGTGAGTGCGGCTGCTAATGTTGCTTAAGAAGCTATGCATAAGCGCTTGATTTAATTTTCATTGAACTTTTCTAAACTCCATCACCCGATAAATTGCAAAAGTTACTTTGATCTCAATAAAGAAATTGTATTTTTTTTTTGTGAAGGCGAATGTTAATTTATAATTATGACGGAGAATTGATAAAGCCTAACATAAACAAACGTGTAGTATGGTTTTCGGTGATTTATGTACGGGAGGTCCAATGCACGGAAACGCTTATTACAGCGTTTCAATTACCAATAAATCATAAAATATGAAAGTATGAAAGAAAATACTCAAAAGAACGATTTTTGTGAAAACATAGCATAAAATCACAAAAAAAAAAAAAATACAACATTTAAATAAGGTGTGAAGTGGGAGCTAATTTTCCAACAAAGGAAAATTTTGAGGGCTCAAGAGAAGTGCTAATTAAATTTGTGGCAGAAACGAATGCTTTGTCGAATAGTTTTTTGACCAAAATCTAAAAGCATAAAAGTGGATTAATCTTAATTATCGCAACTGAGTGGTTTTATTTCGACTGTAATTGTTAGTAATTTACAATTAATTACCGCAATTTGCAGATTATTGTGTTTAACGCTACACTATATAGACAAATATCGGAAAAATTTTTGTCTATTAAACAATATCAACAAGTTTGCCAACAAGAGCAAGTCATCTAATACAGCTAATAAAACCACTTACTGAAACAAAACAATTTCAACATGAATATGGATCCAGGTTAGACAAACTAAATAAATTTTAAATAATAGTTACCATTTAAGCTTAAAATAAAATCAAATAAACAATAAAGCATTTCTGTAAGAGTGTCTACTTTTATTGATATTTTAATTTAATTAAGCTATTTATTATCCAGCGTTTTGTAAACGCCGACGAAATACTTTGATCTTTATTTATAACCGCTGTTTTATTATTTATGAATCAGAAAATATAATTATCAGGTCTCCATTTAGTATTAATTAGTATGATATTTTTATTAATTCATAAATTTTTAGTAGTTTACAACACATAGATATATGCGACGCTGTCTTTCTAATAATACAAATAGGAGGTAAGACTAAGTATAGTCTTATTCATTTGTTAATAAATCAAATCTTTTGCAAATTTGTATAGTTATCAGATAAAGTTTCATATAATTTAATTTTTTAAAAAATATTTATAATATTTATTATTATTTATTTATAATATTTATTTATTTATTTTCAATATCTCAAGTCATTTATAACTCATATTTAATCAATTCTATCCTTTTCAACCACAATACTATTCACAAAAGATCAATCATGATCGCAGTGCTTCGTTTTCTAGAGAGCTAGTATCTTTATTTCTAATTCTAATCATTTTTTGCGACATTTTAAATTGTTACTTAATTACTTAATTACTTAAATGACCATAACAACCCGTTACAGACTTTCGGCCTGAGGCAGCATGTCTCTAAGTGCTTTCTCCGCCTTTTTAACTAAGATATATAAATCAATATTAAGCATCAATTAATTTTTTAAAAGTTATATTCACATGCCAAATTATAAAACGCAACATTAGAAGAAATTGTAAAATACTGAAATATTACTACATGCACATAAATATTAAAAATCACGTCTTTAAAGTCAAATATAAGAACCTGTTAATTAAAAATCAATAAATAAACACATACCTACAACAAACATTTTATCAAATAAACCCATCAATACGAGACCACCAAACATCCAAAGATTCTAAGGCATATTAACACATAAACAAAAATTATTTACCTTAAGTAACATACGTTTATACAAACAAATGTACCCAACAAACAAACAAACAACAAACATTACAGAGATCATTAGTTAAATTAGAAAGCATTAGAGCTATAAAAAGGTGCAAAGATCAACCAACTGAAATCATGGAGTAGCTACCAACCGCGAAGCGATCATGCGCAACCAGTAACCGTTTGCGCCACTATTTTTGATCTACAAGCCAAAATCAAAGACAAACAATTTTACATTTTCCATATACCATATTCCATATACCAAAAGGTTAAAAACTGACTTCATCATTTCTATGTTCTTTTCATTATTTTTTCGTTTTACTGTTTACCAATTGATTATCCGAATGCAATATAAAGTTTTTATCGGACGTCTTTAAAGATTTCGGATTCTATAATTGAAGTGTTTGTTTAAGTTTTTTAATGCTTAGTAGAAAATTTGAATGCAGGCGTTCATTGCGCTTTCAGTATTATCAGTACACGTATGTTAGAGATAGTCATGCTTAAACTTATCAAACCAACTATAAATAGTTGATTTCGATAAAGTAGACTCCCCATAACGTTATTTAAACGATATTTGGATTATTCCACAGTTTTAAAAACTGAAAAACTAGCTTTACTAAAACTATACTAACTTGTCAACTAAAGAACAGATATTATAAAATTTTTCACAGATATCATATGTTATCTTACTAACTTATTAAGTGATATGTTATGTTAATATGAAATAAAATCTCTTCTATATTTCATAAATTTAATACTCGTAATGTGTTTTCTTCTGCCGACGGTAGATGCGTGACATAAAATACCGACATATACATCTATAAATTATAATTTAAAAGCATTGATACAGCTATAGGTAGTCTTCATACGTATGAGTACGAGTACATAACACATAGTAATTACTTTTGAATGTTAAAAAATTGTTATTTGTAATCTCTTCTAAGTAAATTTGTTACTTCGAGTTTTCTAAGCTTTCTATTTCAATTAATGATAAAATAGCAACAAACCAAAATATTTTAGTTAGTTCTTATTAGATTTTATTTATTAAAAAATGAATTGATTTTTCTATCTTAAAATGCAATTTAATTAAATATTTTATAATTAATTTTATGGATAGTCTATATTAATTTAAAAAAATTGTATTCAAATCAGTATAGGACTATTAATCTTCTACTTAATCTCAACAATTTAACATAAAGCAAAATGTTTGATTTTAACGCATTGGTTGCTTATAGTAAAATATAAATAAATGTGTATATGTGATCTGAAACTTCACTACAAATAACAGATTTTATATATATAAATTTAGAATTAAATTTGCAGACTACGGAAACTTCCTCATATGTTTTTTTATTAAAAGGCAAACTTATCAAGTTGCATTTCTTATGACGCTAAGTAATTTACTCTCGATTAAAAACGAACTACAATAAGACTTCCTTTACTTCCTTTAATTTACTTTCGACTAAAAACGATCTACCATAAGACTTCCTTAATTGATTCATGATTCTTTAGTACAAGCTATAGAGTATTGAAATGCATTTTTGAATTCTGGGTAATATTTTTACTTATACTTCATGCTATGTTTTATATATCTAATTACATTGGTTTTTTTATTTTTAAAGCTGCTTTTCTTGGACCTTTTAAATCGGTAGACACAATAAATCGGACATACTTAAGCGTACGTTTTTCTATTAAGACAAGACATGATTTCTTCAAGTGTTTGTTGTTGTTTATATAACGACTGTATTTATTATTTTCCGATTTATGTAATTTTGAATACAAAACAATCAATAGAATTAATATCAAGAAACAAAAATCCGAAGTCAATGTAATCAAAATCTATAATTAAACTATACTACAACAATTTAATAGCTCTAAGGTAATTCTAATTTAGCTTCTAGACTAATAGATGAGCTAGATTGACTTATCGCCTCTTCGACAAAATTTAATTCCATATTCAGTTTTCGTGCTGATTAAGGCGAATTCAGTTTTCAAGATAGTTTTTACATGTTGATATATATTTATTATTCATTACAGAATATTTTTTCTAAATTAAGTAATTGTTAATAAAATGCACTTATGCTCTGCTAAAAGTATTTAGACTCGAAATACAATGTCTAATGTAATTTTAATTTGCTTGGAAACTGATCCCTTACCACACAAATACCAAACAAAAATTTCAATAAGCACACAACCCCTTGACATAAGTCCCAGCACATCAACATCAATCTTCCTGTAACTGTGTTACTCCAGCCTACAGTAAAGTGCAAAACCCACAGAATAACAGGAAAATGTGCGCCGAATGAAATAAATGACTGGACCGCACTGCAGCGCATATTCCCACTAGGAGACATTGACATTGACAAGTGTATAAATATGAACAATTCAAACCATATTGCGTCGCTAAGTCAACTTCTGAATTTGAGACTTGCGGTTGAAGCACTAATATTGTATATAAATACATATATAATGTGTGTAAAACTGTGTACATTAAGTTTTTTCAAATAAATTTAATGAATTTATAATAGTCACAGAAGATTTGTGCTAGATTATAGTCATTTATCCTCATGGCACACGTACTCACATTCTAGAAATATGTTAGCGCTCCTATTGATGAATGCTGAAGATCTACAGTTAATCGGAAAAACGAGTATATATTTAAAGCAACTTATGAGAATAAATGTTTTACAAGTAATTAAATCTGAAATATTTTAATTTTTAAAAACAAATCAAAAATTGAAGATAAAGGGAAAACTAATGTTCATTGAACGTATATTGATCCCCGGAGAATATATTAGATGCATGACATAATTCACATATTTTCAATAGTATCAATTTTGCATTGCCTCATATGTGCAGCACATGCTGGTCCACGTTATAAAACCAGTGTTTCTTTAATAAGTATTTATAAATCTACTATGTGTTTGAGATATAATTCCATTACTTATGTAGTTATATATAAGTATGAATACTATGTAATGATATTTCCCTTGTTTTTAGTTTGAATTATATGTACTACATTATGTTATTAGACACAAATAATTTTTGGATAACTTATATAAACTTCTGCTCTGTTATACATATAATAAATATATCTTGATTGTCGTGATTAGTGCGATCACTATGATCACTATGCACTCGTTCCGCTGCATTGAAGGTGATTGGTCGAATTGCTTTGAAAATTCTATGCATCGTTATGTGTTATGTGTCTCTTTCTTGTCATTCTCTTAAATTTTCCACATTCTTTGTATGTTTAATTGATGATACCGCAAAATTTTTTCAAGTTTCGCCCCCTTTTTTCGGGAATGTACTTCACACGCAACTACCGATTCCATACAAAGTAGTACATATCTGCTAACGGAAAAGTACGTTCTCCGATGTTGGCTCTCATGATTTATGAAGTCATTAATTTCTGTTGACAGACAAAGATGTTTGCACACAAGAAATCTATTTAATTATATATTCTCTATAATGAAGTAGCACAACTAACATTTTTAATGCCATTCTAGATTTAAGTTTAGTATAGTGAATAGTGAACATTTTTATCAATGTAAACATTAGTATGAAATGCAATTTTATAGTACAATATACTAAAGATATATAGTTATAATGTTGCAAATCATGTCTTTAAAAATATAACTTTTATCAATTGATTATCTTTCATATTTTATTTCCTGCAAATATTGTGACTATGTGAATATTACTTAAATGATCACAACATTCAAAGTGGAATACGAGATTTATTTATAAAATTTGTTATCATGACCCGTTAAACATTATCGGGACCCTGGAACTTTATACATTGATCGAATGCAAATGAACGATTAACAACGAGATATTGTCTGTCTGCTGGTAAAGAAAGTATTCGTTTAAAAGAAAATATTTATTTCATATAAAATGTTTATAAATATTAAGATTACGCTACAGTCAGCATTTATTTGCTTCATTATTATTTTTATATATATAATGAGAA